ATAAAGTAGAGGAAGATGGGCAGAGATGTTAGCTCAGGGCCAGTCTTCCTCAGCAAAAAAAAAAAAAAAAAGGAAGAGGATTAGGATTGGCAGGAGATGTTAGCTCAGGGCTAATCTTCCTCAAAAAAAAAAAAAAGATCTACTCTGTTACCAACTTTCAAGTGTATAGTACTGTGTTGTTAACTATAGTCACCATGCTGTACATTCGATCCCCACTACTTATTCATCTTATAACTCAAAGGGTATAACTTTATACCCTTGGACCAACGTCCCCCCATTTTTACCACCCCCCAGCACCTGGCAACCACCAGTCTACAATGTGTTTCTATGAGTTTGGCTTTTTCAGATCCCACATATAAGTGAGACCATACAGTGTTTGTCTTTCTCTGACTTATTTCACTTAGCATAATGCCCTCAAGGTCCAGCCATGCTGAGGGGATGTTGCATGGTTTGTCACCAGAGAATATGAGGACAGAAGTTGGGAGGGGCACGGAAGGGGTTAGAATAACTGCAGAGCAGGGCAGATCTTATTCCTGATAACTTTTTTTCCTATTACCATTCAACAACTGTTTATTCAAAACATGCTGTGTTCAAAGCGTTGTGCTGGATGCAGCTGTGGATACAGTAGAAGACAGAACAGACACATCCCTGCACACAGGGAGCTTATATTCTAGTGCAGAGCTGTCCATTAGAACCTTCTGCAGTAATGGAAACGATCCATAGGTATGCTGTCCAATGGAGTAGCCAGCAGCCACATGGGGCTATTGAGCACTTGAAATGTGCTTAGCATGACTGAGGAACTGAATTTTAAATTTTATTTAATTTTAATCAATTTGAGTTTAAATAGCCACATGTGGCTAGTTACTACTCAGCATGTTTTAGTGGGTCAACTGGATCCTAATAATCTTCCTGTTTAGACTGCCTCATTCTAGGAAACTAGAAAAATTGTGTACTAAATTTAGGCTAGAGTCCCAGGCCCAAATAATCCCACACATTGGGAAGCGAGAGTCGCATCTTGGATGTATTTTTGCTGTGACATTTCCCAAAGCGAGTTCCATGGAACACTGGTCTCCTGAGATAGACTGCCAAAAAAACGTACTATGGGTAGTAAGTTTGGACAGCACTGCCTGCCGCCATATTGCTGTGGAACTACACAGTGAACACAGGCATGTTGTTAGACTCTGATACGTCACAGTGAAAAAACTAGTGCTTGGTTCAGTTGTAGTTTGGCTGGGTTTCTCCAACAAAGCTGATGATTTGCTGTTAGTGCTGTGGAGTCGATTCTGACTCCTAGCGACCCCGTGTAGAGCAGAGTGGAACCCTGCCTGGTTTTTCTGTGCCATCCTCTCACCTTCTGGTGCTGTGTCAGGCAGTGCTCCTCTACCATTCCTAGGGTTTTCATGGCCAATTTTTTTGGAAGTGGGTGGCCAGGTCCTTCTTCCTAGTCTGTCTTAGTCTGGAAGCTCCACTGAAACCTGTCCACCATGGGTGACCCTGCTGGTATTTGAAATCCTAGTGGCATAGCTTTCAGCCTCACATCAACATGCAGCTGCCACAATATGACAATCAACAGACAGGTGGTGTGGTTCCCTGACCAGGAAATGAACCCAGGCCGTAGCAGCGACAGCGCCAAATCGTAACTACTAGACCACCAGGGCTGGCTTACGTGATGATAGTGCCCTTTGATTCACCGACGCCCATCAACACACAGGAGACTTGGGGAAATGCTGGTCCAGGGACAGAGCTGAGCTTGCTTTAGGACTGACTTAAAAGCAAAAGGAAGAAATGTTTATAGTTTTGCCAGAGACTGAATATTTGTCTCCCCCTTCCCCTCACTTCATGCGTAGAAACCTACTCCTGAGTGCAATGGTATTAGGAGGTGGGGCCTTTGGGAGGGGCTTAGGTCCCGAGGGTGGAGCCCTCAGGGATGGAATTCCTGCCCTTAGGAAAGAGACTCCAGAGAGCTCCCTCGCCCCTCTCACCATGTGAGGACATAGCAAGAAGACAGCTGTCCATGAACCGGAACGGGGGCTCTCTGCAGACCATGAATCTGCAGGCGCCTTGCTCTTGGACTTCCCAGCCTCCAGAGCTGTGAGAAATAAATTTCTGTTGTTTATAAGCCACCCAGTCTATGGTGTTCTGTTCTAACAGCCCGAACAGAGTAAGACAAGTCTCTGCTTAGCTTCGTTCTTGATTTTCCAAGAATATGAGAATCCCTCCATTCTCCTAGATTTTGGTGGGTAGAGGATCAAATGTGTATTACACATTTGGGTGCTGGATAATTGCTCCTTGTAACAACTAAGATCCTTAGAGAGTTTTAATGTACGGTGTTTATACTGTGTTGTGTTCATTATGTCTAGTCAGTTTTCTATGTTTTCTAAGCTAGTCTGTGGTCTAAGAGCCTGAACTGATACATGCATGGAGAGCTTGAACTGTTGGATTTTGCTTTTCTCTTTTATTTATTTGGATTTATAAATAGAGTACTCATGTGGCCATTTCCACCTTCTGACTTGGTTTACAAAGCCCTCCAGGAATTCCATGGCAGTTACTTAAGTCCCCTCCTCAACTTGGTATAAATTAAAAGGACATATCAACCCAATATGGTGTTTTAAAAGTTCTGATTGGATTGAATTATACATGAGTTCTCACTCATGCTATTATACATGTGGGTATATATGAATAAGGTATCTGAGTTTGCTAATGCCTTACTTAAAAAGAAAATTAGACTGGATTCAAGGTTATTCATAGAATAATGCTGCTCTTACTTGCCTTTGTTTTTTTTTTGATGAAGATTAGCCTTGAACTATCATCTGCTGCCAATCTTCCTTTTTTTTTTTTTTTTTTTTTGCTGAGGAAGACTGGCCCTGAGCTAACATCCGTGCCCATCTTCCTCTACTTTATATGTGGGACGTCTACCACAGCATGGCTTGCCAAGTGGTGCCATGTCCACACCGGGATCTGAACTGGCAAACTCTGGGCTGCCCAAGCGGAACGTGCGCACTTAACTGCTGCGCCACTGGAGCGGCCCCTTACTTGCTTTCTGAAATACTTTCTTAAGCAGGAGAGAAGGAAATGGAATGAGCAAACCATGAGAATGAGTCTTGTGTCCTCTCTCATGCTGGAGAACACCATCCATCATGCCTGATGTGGCGGGAAAAGGTTCAGAACTGCTGGGAGTGTATCTTCCAAGGTCTCTTTCAGTACTGAGAGTGTCATTCCGTGACAGCTTTGAGAGTTTTCACTGTAGTAAAACAGTGTATTGTGGGCTAACTTAAATTCTAGCATCAAAGGGGAGATATGCTCAAAATACGTAAAAGCTTCGATAAAGAAAATGTATGTGATGAACTTGATTTTTGGCCTTGTAAAAGGGCCAGAGCTTCTTGGGTTCCTTCAGTTTCCATTTCATTCTAACAGTTTCAAAAACGTTGCTTCTTTTTGCCATTTGGAATGCCTCAATAACCAATTCTTCCACCAATTTACCATTGTTTTTTCCTGTGGCTAGCAATCTTTTGCCTTAAATTTTTTTTTCAGATATTGTTTTATTGTGGTAAAATATACATAAAAGTTATTTTAACTATTGTTGAGCATAAAGTTCTGTAGCATTAAGTACAGTCACATTGTTTTGTAACCAAACAATCAATGCTTGTTTGCAGGGAGGATGTGGGGAAATTCCCAAGGGGGCCTGACCTTCCAGCATGTGCTCTGTATTAATAAATTGTTGTTAATAAATTAATAATCGTTGTTTATAAGCAAGGCCTGCCAACCAAAATCAACTATTTCCATACTACAGCTATAGTTACAGAAGAAGAAGGACGAACATTTGCATTTTCCTTGCTTGAGGCCGCTGAGTCCCAAACAGAGCAAAAGAAAGTTGTGGTCGGAGTGGTGGAGGGGTTACTCCAAGCCTCCTGGTGTCTGCCATTCCCGCAGGGGTGTGTGGAGATTTCACCCCAAGGCCTGCAATCCCTGCCCTGGGAAGGGTGATAAAGGCTCAGAACGCCTCCTCTGTCAGCTGCAACTGTAACTTCCAGGTTGTCTGCCAAATCCGGCCGCCATCTTTTTTTCTCAATAAAGTTTTATTGGGACACACATTTTTTACCATCCTCTGTGGGCACCTTTCTGCTACATCAGCAGAGTTGAGTAGTTGTGGCAGAGAGTGTGTGGCCCACTGAGCCTAAAATGTTTACTTTCTGGTCCTTTCCAGAAACAGTTTGCCGTTTCTGTTCTAGGGCTTCCTCTGTGGGCCCTGAGTGCCCCTAGCTGTGTGTGTCCTTCCAGTCTCACCTCAGACGGAGGGCTGAAGCAGGGCTGAAGCAGGACGGGCCATATCTGAGTTCCCTGTGGGTGTCGCATTTAATACCAGCCCTGCTTTGGTATCCTGAAAGGCTGTGCCATTGTGATGATGAAAAGAGTCAAAGTAACAGCCCAGGTGTGGCAGACCTTGAAACAGTGTTCTCTGATTAAAGAGAACATTTTATTCTGGACTATGCTTGAGATAAGAGCCTGCTGGGTTACACGATGGTTAGAATAAAGGAAGTAGGGGCCCTTTAATTCATGAAGTGGTTTATTAGGAAGGCAATTCAAACGTGCTGTAAATACTCGTAAGGCTTGGGAAACTTATGGATTAGTTGCAGGAAGTGACGGCTGTGCATTACATTTTGCAATGGAAGACCGAGCAATGAATTGCTACCTTTGATTCGCCATACATGCTATTTGTTAGGAAGTGCAGCACAGGGGAGAGAATCTCTGGATTCCTAGCCTCTGAATTCTGCAAATGCTTTGTCCATTCCTGAAGCCTGTCTTTTATTTTATTTTATTTTTTGAGGAAGTTTAGCCCTGAGCTAACTGCTGCCAATCCTCCTCTTTTTGCTGGGGAAGACTGGCCCTGAGCTAACATTGTGCCCATCTTCCTCTACTTTATATGTGGGAGGCCTACCACAGCATGGGGTGCCAAGTGGTGCCATATCCACACCCGGGATCCGAACTGGCGAACCCTGGGCCACCAAAGGGGAACGTGTGCACTTAACCGCTGAGCCACCGGGCTGGCCCTTGTCTTCCCGTATTTTAAAGGCCAGGTCCGAGGATGCTGAGTGCTTGTCCTCCACATCTCCAGGCGGCCAGCCTCTGGGTGCTCTTGGACCTCGCCTTTCAGAGTCTTCACCTTCTCAGATTTTTTTTAAGGATGTTAGGTGGTTGGTTTCAAAGCTGCTCCTCAGAGTGGGAGCAATTCAAGTAGATGGATGTGAGGCGCACAGACGGCAAAGTATCATTTGTTTCGCCTGGGATGCAGGGAATAGCCCTGGAAGGAAAAGCTGATGCGGACACTGAGAGTCTGTGGAAGTCATAGCGCGCTCGCTTGGTCTGAAGTGGCTGGTGTGCCGCAGTGGCTCTGCCAGTCAGTGAGTCGCCATAGAAATGTTAATTTGCATTTTTTGCTAATGAAATAATTTGCTGAGAGGGGGCCATTTAGTGAGAAGTTCTCCCTCCTGCTTTTTTTTTTTTTAACCTTGAGCTGCCCAGGGATAGCTTTCATTAACCACAAGAGTCATAGAATTAATGGAATCTTTTGTTTTCTGTTATGCTGGTTCTCTTTCCCAGGACTGAGCTCCAGGTGCCTTAAAAAACAGCATCACAAAATACAATGCAGAAGAGCAGACACCAAACTGAGTTGGTATTCTGGCTGCATGCCAATATATTTCTTTTGGTAGAGCGCACTGTTTAGAAACTGTAGGTCTTGGTGATAAAATGATTTACCGCTTCAGTAGTTCCAGTATGAAGGAGAGAGTGGTTATAGAAATGTAGCTTTGAGAGACCAGCCGAGGGCCAAGGCCATTAACGTCTAGGTAGGTTTCCTAGAGCTCAGTCTAAAGGAAAAGGAGTTACCACACTCATTAAGAATCCTGATGAATGCCAGCCACGTTTTCTTCTTTTAAGATACCTCTTTCTAAGCTAAATAATACTTGTCTCTAGTGACCTAAGTCAGTGTCTTTGGAGGGCCCTTGAGCAGGCTCCGCTCTCCGAAGGATGCTGTTGTGGATGTGATTTCAAGGTTTCCTGTTGCTTGCTAATCACCGGTTAAGTGAAAGCCAAATAAAACGGCTCCTTGCCGTGCCCCAGGGGAGCGGCCCCTCTCCTCTTCCCATCTCTTTGCCCAGAAGTGCTGCCATCATCTGTAGGAGATCAATCTCCTCCAGGTACTTAAGAAATCTCCTGGCCTATGGAAGTGGAGTATTGCATCAGGGGATTGATCGCCAGAATTCAGAGAATCATTGAACGTCGAGGTGAGCACACATTCTCAGTAATAGGAATCCAAAGTCAATGCCAGTTTTGCCTGTCCAGTCCTTTCCTTAACCTCATCCTCACCAGTGAACCACAGCCGACACAAATAGACCGTTTACACGGTAAAAACACCCGGTGCCATCGTCCCCGGCTGGCCACCTTGCCTCTAACTCCACTGATAGAGGAATGAGTTATCAGGCTGCAGGGGGAGGGGAGGGAGTGGCTCTGTTAGTTGTGCTGGAGAAATAAGAAGGTAATGCCTTCTGTGTGACCTCGCTGTGTGTTATATGTTGTGTCTGTCGGCATAAATCTCTGCCTGGGCTGTTAGAGTAAGCTCTTAACAGACCTCCCCGCTTCTCCAACCCACCCACTTGAGCATCGTTCTAGAGTGATTCTCTAGCATCAGAGCCCTCCAGAAGCTGCCCCCTGTATCTGGAATAAAACCTGAGGTCCTTAGCACGGTCTGCGGGGCCCTGTGTGATCTGGCTTCTGGTGGCCTCGTAAGGTCAGCTCACATCGCTTGCTCTCTCTGCTCCTGCCATGCCAACCTTCCTTCCTTCTGCTGTTTTCCCCTGTGCTGAGGCTGCTCCCACTTCCAATTTTGTATTTATTGCCTGGAACAGTTATTTCCTTCAGCTGGCACACCTCACCCTCTTCTGTCTGGTCTCTGCTCAGAGCCCCTTACAGACAGGCCTTCCGTGAGCAAGTGAAGTTAGAACTCTCCAGATGGCAGCCTTTTGTCCCTTTCTAAGGCTGGACTGCTTTATTTTTGTCTAAAGCACTTGTTGACACTTACCTTACTTGTTTCTGTGTCTGTAATTTCTCTCCCCCGACTAGAATGTAAGCTCCCTGAGGGAGGAATTTTTATCTGTTTTATTCCCTGTGCCATCCCCAGCATCTAGATGAATGCCTGGCAGTGGATATAAACAAGGTATAGGGAATCGCATAATTTACTGAAATAACTCTATAGCCCAAAAGTTCAAATATCTGGTCCTAGCCTCAGTCCCTCTACAAACTAGCTGTGAGACAATGAGATGACTTAAATTGACCAGCCTTACGTTTCCTATAGGCAAATGAAGTAAAGAATGCCAGCCCTATTTATGAGATGATGAGATGAGGTCATCAGATGAGCGTGTTGGAAGCTCTGAGTGCTGGTCAGATTCAGAGGGCCATGGAGCCCTTGCACACAGCAGATGCTCGTGAACGATTGGCTCAATATTGCTTTTATCCCTGGTCACCGACCCTTGGGTGGGTACATGGTATTGCATCTGGGGTGTGGCCTATGACCTAATGGAGACCTTTCAATAAATTATGACATCAATAATTCAGAGGCAGGCTGTGTAATTTCACTGCTTCTCCAGAGGGCTGGAGAAATGTTCTGCTTCCCAGAGCCATAAAAGTTCTCTTGACATAAAATCTACAGAAGTGGGTTTGGCAGGCAAGCTGTCTTCCATGACTTCAGTGACGGTTTTTCAAAATCAGGTTTTACTTCAGTAAGTTCTCCGTTAGCCATGGATGATCTGAAAACATCATTGTCACCATCAGGTGCAGCCTCTTCTCTCTGAAACTTAAGTCACATCTGCTAGAGGTCAACCACGTGTGGCAGACTTGGTTCTCTCCTTTTCTTTGTACTCAGAGGAGTGGCCCCTGGGGAAGAATACTAGAGTATCCGGGTGGTCCCCAGATTGGGGAATTAGGTCCTGAATGATTGGAGATAGGTTATTTTGCTAACTGACTGATTTTTGATCAGGGATAAGTACCTTGGGTAAGATGCAGAATCAATGATTTTAAGCTTTCCTGTCCTGGTGCCGGAGCCTCATAAATATTCACAGAGTCCAATAATGTCCTTGGTTCTGGAGAATAGTTTGGGCTTTAAAGAGTTTTGTATTCTGATTGGGATGATGGTGATAATAGATGAATGAGACAATGATAATGAAGGGACAAGTCTTTGTTTACTGATCTTTTAGGCTGGGCCCATCAGGGAGCATGTATTAGCCTCTGTGTGCACGATACTGTGCCAAGCCCAGATCCATGCTTAATTGAGAGACATGGCCCCAGAGGAGTCTCCAGGTTAGTAGGCAGAGATAGTCACAGAAGTGAAAATAATAGTAGGGAACCGAATGACTTCCCACTTCTGCAGCTCCATCGCTTTGCTAGTGGGAGTGTTGATGAAGGATTAATCCTGGCTGAGGGTGGTAGGAGTGGGTGGGTCATCTATCTTTTATGAACAACTATTTAGACGTTGTGGGGAGGGTATGAGAAATGTGAAGAAAAGTGAAAAAAGATTTGCTTTTTCGTTCCCTTCTTGTGAAGTGCATTGTTTTGTTTGCTCTTGCCTGGCAAACTGAACTGGCAGATAATCCACAGAGCAAACTAAAGGGATGGAGTGCCCATCCTGGATATTAACATTTTCGAGCACACTGTCTTTAATGTTGTTTGTGAAATCTAAAACAGTTTGGGGGGGACTCCCCAAACTCATGTTGGTTCTGTAAGAGAGTAGGTTGATAAGGTTGATCAGTGGCAACTGGTGCTCAAAACTTAGGCTAGACCATTCCCAACAGTGGGGAACATAAATCTCTTCATTCTTCTTTTTCTCCTGTTTTTCGAGGTGATAGGAAGAGCCAGAACAGTTAATCGAGTGACAGTTGCTTGTCAGGGAATGTTTGACTGTCTTGCTAAGAAAGCTTAGATATTTTTTCTAGAGACAGTATAATGGAGATTTCAAACTAGATTTGGAAAATATCATAGTTGATGTTTTGAATTCAGCTGATACTGATTAATCTCCATTCTCCTGTCTCCTTAGACCTTAGCTTATTATTGAGATGAGCAATCATCAGATTCCTTGCCATGGTGCTCTTTGTGGAATGCCACATGTTCTTTGACACATTGGTAAGTTTACTGTCATCATATGACTTGAAGACTAGGAAGTCACGTCTTGTGTGTATCCAGTACGCTTTCAGAAACACTTGCCCCTGAAAAGATAAGTTATGTAGGCAAGACTGGGATTTTTTAAAAGGGTGATGGGTATTTCCTTAGTTTATTTGACAAATAATTATATATATTATAATTATATAGAATTATATAGAATTACTATATATATACTATATATATGTAGTGCTTGCCATGTTGCCAGACACTTTTCTAAGCATTTTACAAATAATAATGTGTTTAATCCTCATAAAAATCCTGAGAGGTAGATGCTTTTCTTACCTGATTCGTTTGTTTCTTATATGCTTGTTCTCTATCCAAGTGGCAGCTGTAGTCACATGTTTGTAGCTGCTTCTAGTTTAAGAAAAATTCTTTGGAGAAAACCTCATAACTGACAATTCTGTCCCTTAGCTGACGTCTCCTCTTCCTCCCTAGAAAATTGGGGAAGTTCCACCTTTATTTAAGCTCAGCGGCAAAACACCATCTGTTTGCACAGGCGCAGATCTGACAAGGTCAGACCAGACTGGAAATGATTTTGCGTCAGGATCCCTGAGAGTCTGTGGAATTTCAGCCCACTCTGTCCTCCGTTTGGGATTCTGTGTTCCCCAGAGAGCATATGTGCGCCCGCCGCCACCCGGGGGGACCTGGAGGACCTCCAGGCGGTTTGGCTTTTGGACTCAGTGTTGTGGTCACGGTGGATCATGTTGCCTGGAGGCTCTGGAGCCTGTGCTGGGGGAACAGTTGAGATTTTAATCTCGTTTTGCGTGGCGTTTTTGGTACGTTTGACCCTTTCAGGTTAGTTTAATTAAATGCCAAATAGAGCTAGCCAGCAAGTGGATTTTGTTTTGGAAATGTGTCTGTTTTTCTTTGTGGTTGCCTGATCTGATTGCCCGTTTATCATTTTGGCTTTATTCTTGGATTTGTGCCTGGGACTCATTGCCCGGCCTGCTCTGTCTTTGCTCGCCAGCCCTGAGATACGCTGACTTGGTGGCTATTATGCTCCCACTCAGGTTTTGGTTTCCTGCCAGTCTGGGAGGCTTGGGATCCCATGCTGGGGGAAGGTATTCAAGCAATAAAGCCAAAGCTGGGTGTGAGAAGGCGGATGAAGCAGGTGTGGGGGAACCAGAGAGAGTGAGCGAGCCAGCTGCCCACAGCGGCCGGAAGAGGCAGGATACGAGATCTCTCCTTGGTGAAACCCATCAGGCCTATGAGAATTCTCTGGACAGTAGTGTTTGAACATTCCTCTTTCTGCTCCTCTCCTTCCCTTCTCCTAGGTGTTCGCTGCCTACGGAATCCTTTGAGGAGAAATTACTCCTGGGCAGTCTTGGTTCGAGGGTTTTAGCAGACATCTCACCTTTGACTTCCAGTCTGAATATTCGACATTTCCTGACCCACCAGTGTTCCCTCCCACCCACGCCCCTGCTTGTAGAAAATTGTTTAAAGTTGAAACCCTTTGTTCTGAAGTGGAGGATTTAGTATGCTGCTATGTTTCTGAGAGAGGCAGGATAGTGTAGTGGTTAGGGGCCACATTGCCTAGGTTCACATAGTCTCAGAGAGATGATACAAGAATGATACGAGGTTGCCTGCTCACTTATACTTATTTCAGAAGGTTCTGTGCCATGCAATAAAGCAAGAAAAGGAAATGAGAAGCAATTAGAGGAAGAGAGAGTAGTCCTTCTCAAAACCTGTGCCTTGGTTCCTCACCTTTAGGAAGGGGTAATAGTACCTACATCAGAGGGTTAGACAAATCTTAGCAATTGTTATCTTCTCTACCTTCCCCGCTCTCCTCCACAGAGGGATCATGAGATGAAAGCTGTGGAGATTTTTGTCTTTTTTTCCCCCAGGGCTGTATTCCTGGCACCTAGAATGGTGCCTGGTACTAAGTAGGTGCTCAGCATATCTGTGGAATGAGTAGTGTAGGAAAGACCATGTGAATACACCTTGCTATGTCCTCTTGTATTCCATGCATCTTTGGAACAGAGAGGGGATCAAGGAGGAAGGGCATGGAACTGGAAGTGTTGGAAAAGTTCAAGAACTGATAAATCCTCCATCTTTCTACATGCACTCAGCTTTCTGATCGTTGAGCTGGCTGTTCTTCACTGCCGCCTGTGGAATCTGAGACTTCATGGAAGGATGCCCAGGGCACTGGTGACTGACGTGGCTGGGGGAGGGTGGGTGGGAGCATACTGCATTAGGACTGGCAAGGAGCAACCTCTTAGATAGCACTCTTCACATGCCACGCCCATCATTAACGTGCTTTATGTACATTAGCTCATTTAAGCCTTAGCACAGCTCTGTGCACAGTTGGGAAATGGAGCCACTGAGACTTGTCCAAGATGATGCAGTATTATAAATATTTATTAAATACCTTTTCTTTTGGTGCCAAGCATTTATGCTAGGCCCCGAGGAGCCAGCAGTGAAGAGACCTGTTGTGGTTCCTGTCCTCGAGGAGTGTACAGTCCAGTGAGTGGACAGTTTAACAAATAATCCCATAAATAATTACAAAGATTGATGCCTTGTGAGAAATACTGGGGAGAGAGTATGCTGTGGGGTGGAGTGACAGGGGGCCTGGTGTAGATTGGTGGGGAAGAGAAGGCTTCGCTGAAGGGCAGACACTTATAAGGTGAGATCTCTGAAAGGACAAGTAAGAACTAGCCAGACTGAGAGTAGGGACCAGGTTTCCAGGTAGTGGGAACAGCATCTGTTCAGTGATGCTGAAACAGTAGACACTCTGAGTCAATAAAGATGTGGAAACTGGTAGATGGCCACGGTGGCAGGAGCAGAGGGAATAAGGAGGAGATTGACTGAGAGGTGAGCTGAGTTGCATCATGCAAGATCTTTAGGCCCATTAAAGATTTGGGATTTTATATTGAATGCAGTGGGAAGCCATTTAAGGGTTTTAATCAGGAGTGCATGGTGATCTCATTTACAGTTAAAAAAAAATCATTATGTTGAGTAGAGGGAAAATGGATTAGTAGTAAGTGAGAATGGACGTGGGGAGATAAGCAAGAAAACTTTATGCTTTGACTACAGGGTTTAAAAGTGTATCCAAAATCCATATAATCACTTCAATAGATGCTGAAAGACATTTTACAAAAATCAATATCTATTTTTATTAAGCTTTTGATTTTGAAATATTTTTAGGTTTATAGAAGAGTTGCAAAAATAGTAAGAACATTCTCATATACTATTCCCTCAGCTCTCTCTAATCAACATTTATTTTTAATTAGCACTCCTAATAAATTAGAAATGGATACTGCTTTATTATATTGAAGTATATCTCTGGAACAAGCAGCCAGCATCATACTGAATGGTAAATACTAAAAGTGTTTCCATTTAAGACAGGAATGATACAGGGTTGCCTGCTCACTTATACGTATTTCAGAACACTATATGCCATGCAATAAGGCAAGAAAAGGAAATGAGAAGCAGTTAGAGGAATCCTTCTCAATACCTGTAACACCCAAAAGAGTCAGTTGAAAAACTCCTAAAACTGAGCAATTAATGAAATGGTAAAATTATGAAATAAATATCTAAAAATGTATACCAATGTAATAGAGATAAA